AAAAGGGTGTGATTTTTCATATGAATGTCATATCCCTTTTCTAAAAGTTGCCTCAAATTTAAAATGTTTGATTTCATGTTAGGCACATAGTAGACATTAGAGATGAAATCATTTTTTCCATTTTTTAACCGGATTAAAATTTTCCCTTTTCCTTTTACCGGGATTTTTTATTCATCTCCAAAGTAGATATCTCCACTTACCGATTCATCAAGCTCGACAAACATATCTTTCTTCCCGCACATGTGGTTGTTTGCTCCCGTATCTAAGTACCATGTCGTTTTGGTGTCACTTTCTCCTCCTTTATGGGCCATCAACAATGTTGAATTTTCTTTTTCTTTGGCAAGATTTGTTCGCTCCTCAACTTTATTTTTTGCCAATCTACAATAGGAGGCAAAGTGACCAAATTTTTGACAATTATAACATTGAACTTGATACTTATCATACCTTGGTCTCGAAAAATCTGCTCTTCCACGGCCTCTTGATTGATAGAAATGTGGACTTCTCTCTTCTTTGTTGAAAGTCTTATAACCTCCTCTTCCATAGCCTTGGCTTCGACCGCGCCCTCTTGAACTTTGACTTCTTCCCTCTTGGAAAATCTCTTTATTTTTTAAGGTGAGCTTGGTTTGAAGGGCTTGCTCCAATGGCTCTTGCTTTATTCTCTTCTTGAATTTTTCTTCATGAGCTTCAAGAGATCCCAAAAGATTATCAACAGTCATTGTTTCTAGATCTTTAGATTCTTCTATTGCCACAACTATGTAATCGAATTTTGAATCTAAAGACCGTAGAATTTTTTCAACCACGCGATTATCTTTGATTTCTTTTCCATATCTTCTTAGTTGATTCACGACGGTGTGAACTTTTGAGAAATAGTCGTCAATAGATTCTGAAGAGTTCATGTTTAAAGAATCAAACACACCTCGAAGACTTTGAAGTTTTACTTTCTTCACATTATCTACTCCTTTGAATGAATTCTCTTATATTTTCCAAGCTTCTTTGCTTGTAGTTGCACATGTCACCTTTGCGAACATGACTTCATCCAAAGCTTGATGGATGATAGAGAGCGTCTTTTGATCTTTCTTCTTAGTACTCCTCAAGGCATTCTTTTGATTTTGATTTGAGGCGTTGATGTCTTAGTTTTAAAAGGCACGAGGCGGCTCGAGGCGATTTCATTGATTTACCCGAGGCGTGAGGCGCTAGGCGGTGAGGCGCACGCCTCACGGATCTCAGCCACATTTCTTTGGTGAAATATATTTTTAGTACTTCTACATGAAGCACTCTTCTCAAAAATACTTCAAACTATTAAACAATCTTAACATCATAAGAGAAACAGAATATTCATTAAAGATAATAAGACAGAAGCAAAAAATATATGTTTAAAGGCATAATTGCCAAAAGTCAAGTTACAAACTCAATCTTAAAACTTCAAAACATAACTAAAAAGCAAAGTAGCAAACTCGCAAGCACAATTGTGAAATCTAGGCCTAGAATTCATCACTGTCATCATCCTCATTATCGAGAGTAGCAAACATTTCCTTCATAAACAATTAATAGTCATTTTGTGATAAATTGAATAATTAAGTTATATAAAAACTGTTAATAGTAATTTAAATAATTAATGTAATAAACTGTTATATAAAAAATTGTTAAAAAATCTTAAAAATAAAAACTGTCATTTTATGCAATACATAGTTAATACTTAATAAATCAGTGTTCTAACACTACAATATACAGAGTATATGATATAGTATTATGATATTATCATTGTTACGGAATATACTACGGAGTATAAAATAATACATATTTAATTAATAAACTATCACATAAATACAATTCTGTAAAAAGAATCACAGACAGATTTGTAAATTTAAATAATTTAAATAATTTTGTAAATTTAAAAACTTAAAATACTTAACTTTTTTTCAGTTATCTATCAAAACTTATAAATAGCGAAAGATAATACTATACCAGTTATCTAACTTTTATTTAAATAATTTTAATACGTAGTATTTTTATAAATATAACAACTTAAAATAAAATAAAATAAATAGCAGAAGACAAAAAAGGTAAACACTTACCTGCGACGCGAGATAGCAGCGCACAAGTTAAGTCGGAAGACTCAGAGGCTCAGAGCTACGCCAGATATATCGGAAGACCAAAGGAAGAAGGCAGAAACGAAGAAGAAGACTAGAGAGGAGTGACGAGTAAGGAGCTTACTTCCCTGAGGCGTCAATTGCGCTCGCCTCTTAGAAGCGCAAAAGGCGCGCTTAAGCAAGAAAGGCGATCGCCTCTAGGAACCTGTGCCGCCTTGGTAAGTTAATTGCGATGAACCTAGCGCCTATATGCCCCTAGCGCCTTTGCGCACCTCAGGCGCGCTTTTTTAAACTAAGGTTGATGTCCTCGGGTTCCTCGAAGCCTTCCTCTACCATGTCCCACACATCTTCCGAATCAAGTATTGCCTTCATGCGAATGCTCTGATTATCATAGTTCTCTCTTTTTAATGGAGAAACTTGAAGAGAATCGGCCATTTTTGGGTGATGACCTAACCTGACTCTGATACCACTATTGGAAATAAGTGAAGGAAGATTTGGGAAATTGAGAGGCTAAATTAGAAATATTGTGGAAGAGATATGAGATAATTCTCTAATTAGGACTAAAAGTTATTAAAAGTGCAATAATGGGACTTCTATATTTCCGTTACATGTGTAGGACTTAAAAGAGATAACTTGACAACAATACCCTTAATAAACAAATTAATATACTTATTAGTAATACAATATAAAATAATAAAAGAAAATATAATAAGCTCATCACAGTCCTCTGGCACAACACCGCTAACATCTTTGGTGACACCTCCGCCGCCGCCGCCGCCACCACTGGAGCCTCTGCCACCGCCACCACCACCGGAGCCTCCACTGCCGCCGCCACCACCACCAGAACCGCCGGCGTTAGTGCCGCTACCACCACAGGCGCCACAACCCTCCCAATCTCTGACCTCATCCACCCTAGCCGCCGCCGGCTGCCGCCATCTTTGGCGTCATCACTGCCACGTCCGACGATATGGCCGCCTCATCCAACACCAGTGTACCTCATCTGCTTGAACTCCGACGCCTCCACTAGGCCAACCACGGTAGATTTCAGATCTGAACTCAGATCTGGTACGACTATCATTTAAATGACATCTCGCAGTTGTAATGCCATCTTAACGACATTATTATTGTCATCTTGCAATTATAATGTCATCTTAATGACATTATTGTAATCCTGACAGAAATTAGATGGCATTTTCGAATTAAAACATGTCATTAATGTTTTTCAAAATGAGTAGTATTGCCATCTTCGCAATGTTAATGTCAAAAAATGGCATTCATTCTTGAAGTGACTTTTATCAGATTCAAAGTAAACATATATTGCAAAGATAATCCCATAAAAAATACATAGTTTTAAATTTAATTTTCCAATAGATTATATTTAATAGGGAAAATAATTTGGAGAAACACTTATACAATTTTAAAAATTTAAGAAAAAATAAAACAATATATATCAAAGTAAATAAAATCTGAAAAGAGCTAGAAAAAAGCAAGAAAATGAACTGATTGAAACAGATCTGGAAGGAGAATAAATAAAGTGAAGCAAAAGAAAAATAAAAATTGGGGTTATTCAGCAACTTAAAGATGCACAACATCTGCCATAGAGTGAAGGAAAAGAGAAGAGAAGAAAAAGAAGGGGAAGAAGAAGAAGAGAAAAAGAATACATACCTGGTTACCGCCAACCTGCCACCACTCGCCGCCCCTGCTCAGGTTACCGCCAGCCCGCTGCCACTCACCGCACCTGCTCACGGGTGGCCGGAAATGGAGAAGAAACTCATCGCTTATACCTCTAAATCAGAGATGATGAGAGGGGAATGAAATTGATGTCTCACAAAGGGATTTAAGGATGAAGATGCAGAGGGTAGATGGGAGAGAAGAAGGGAGATTGTGGAAGAAAAGAAAATTTGATGCGAGAGGAAGATGGGAGAGGAGAGAGGAGATGTGGTGAGAAAAGAAATCCTGTAGCGGAGAGGGACGTACAGTTGGGGATGGGCATAACTGGAAGATTAATTAAATTAGTCCTATTTAGGAAATAAATTAGGGAGTACTCCTATTTAGGAACTTTCTCATTATTTTAGTGCTATTTAGGGCAAATACTTAAGAGATATTTGAACAAAGGGGAAGAACTCTTTTTATTAGAACAACTCAATTTGCTTTATACAAAGTGGTGGTAGGGGAGCTCTATTTATACTAGTACAGAAGTATCTAGACTCTTCTATAATTAATGCATTCTAGACAATTCTATACAATTAATGATAGGAGAGTTGTGGAGACCTTATCTTCTAGAGAAGCTCTAGAATTTATTCCTTCTACATTTTTCTAGCACTTGGACCTTCCCAACAACAACTAAAGTAAATATTAGTTAGGCCCAAAAATAAGTTTAATTTTCAACATTTTCCAACCCCTTGCATTTTTCAAGATCCAAGTATACCCAACATTTACCTAGTTTCATAATACCACAATTCCATTTACAATGAACAAAATGGCACCACTGATTTGAACTTTGAACTAAATTCACTACACCGCTGCTTTGAAACTTTATTCAGAATAGTGTGGGCACTACAACTAAAATATTATGTGTTACTACTTGAAGGTACAATCAAGGCTCTAAAAACTTGAACGCAGGTGGAACTATTTTCAGGCCTACAAAATCATATTCATTAAAACATTGAAACATTAAAAAATGCTAAGTATCATTGCCATAGGGCCATTCCTACACAAATCATGACTAGAGATGAATTAAGGATTGTAAAAAACCAAGAATACAACTTTTGATGTTTTACTCAGATATGAAGAACTGAGAAGAGCTTATGGTTTCTGGGCAATACTTACAAAGTTACATTTACTCTCTTTTTCCAAGTCCTTGTTGATGTAGATATTATTTGATATTTTGTTAGGCCTAGATTAGAATACCTGGACTGCAGCCTGGACCATGGGTTGCTTCAGCCTAAATAGCGTCTTTCTGGAGAAGTCAATGGTAATAATATCCACCTTCAGAATCATAGTATGAGACACCATATGAACATGAACGATATCAGTCATTAAATGCACACAAGTTCAAACTTGATTGTATATGAGAGCATTATCGTGGTTATAAATTCCTCTTTAGGTCAGTTGAGCAATCATCTTTACGCATACAAGTCATAATTTAGTCAAACCTCGGAAATCTGGCAAGCTTGGTCGAAAGCATTCTGATTGAGCGGCATTACGGCGACGACGTTGTAGCTCTTGGTAATTGGGTTCCCGGAATTGAGAACAGAGGCTTGAGCAGGGCTATCGACTGTTACAGTCAAGCGAGTGTACTGGCGAAAGGGAGAGGATACGGGAACGTTTAGAAGGCCGCGGTGGAGCTTGGCAGCAGAGGAGATAGAAGGAGAGAGCTTGAGAATGGATGAAAGAGGGAAGAGAGGGATGGAGCAACGATCCGTTTCGGACATGACTCCCTTGATCGTGCGGTTGTAGGCCACTCCAGTGTAGCCCAGCTCCATGGCCTTGATAATGAGCTTGAGGCGCATGGCCTTCGCCGACTTCTTGTCGGCGATATGGCGGTCGGCCTCAACGTACGGGATATTCAGGTCAAAGAACCCCATAGCTCAGGGGGCCGGAGAATGGTCAACGGAAGTGAGAATCAAACCGATGGAATAGCGGCAAAGGGTTCTGACTGAGGAGGTTTTGGGTTATGCGGGCCTCGAGCCCGAGTGTGTAGAACTTTGTGGGCAGGCCTCGACGCCTCGTCACATGCAATTCTAAATTCAGCTCCAACATTACTATTTAGTATTTACTGCCCTTAATAAAATTTAAATAATTAAAAAAATACTACTATCAATTGTTTATTACTACCTCCGTCCCACTATGATTGTCTCATTTTACCTTATCGGTCCGTCCCACTAAGATTGTCTCATATCAAATTTGGTAAAATTTATGTGGCTCTAAGTTATTCTTACTTTATACTTACTTTAACAATTCAATATCAACCACATAAATCACTTTTTATTAATTTGCGTGTCACTCCCTCTTGTCCCATTGTTAGCGGGACAGAGAGAGTATATCCTTATAGAAAAAATTGAAAATAATAATTTCAACTATTTTTAGTCCGTCATTAATAATCTCAACTATGAATTATTCATGGGTGGTCCCAACTATAAGGGTCATTTTCCAAAATTAATCCCTAACCGATTACAACTTGATATTGCAGGTCAATTTTAAATCCAAACTATGCGTAAGCTTTAAATAATCCGAACTATAATTGATCTCTTTTTATTAATCTCAATTATCAACTCTCAATTTTTGGAAGATATAAAAATATTTGTATAAATTTACATACTAAATATTTTTAAACATAAATAAACAACTACAAAAATTATACAAATTTACCAAAGTTAAATAAAATATTTTTACTCATTTTCTATTTATTTTCACTAAAATTTTATTTTTCTTTCCTTTTGTCCAATTTGTTTTCCCACTTGTGTTATCAATTTATGATTTTGTAATTTTTCCTTTATTCAAATTTACATTTTTGATTTCAAAAAGTAAACAGCGATTAAAATATTATTATTTTTATGTTATCTTAATTCTAAAAATCTAAATTTTTCAGTTTTCTTCATTTTAGTATTGCTAGTTTCTTTCTATTTACTTTATTCTATACTGGGTATTATTATATTCTATAAATTATGTTATATAGTTCATCGTTTAATTTCAGTTATTTGGGGTATAGCCGTATAGGTTTCGAAGGTTTTGACTATTTTTAATGAAAATGTATTAATATTATAATTTTAAGTGATATAATGGAAATTGTAAAAAAAGTAGAAAAAGTGTATCACAATGGTAATAATAATCCTAACTATTTTGGTAGAAAAAGCATGGACATTTGGTAAACCACAAAGTCCCCTTTCGGACCAAGCTTACCATGCAAACCCAATTCATAATGGATTGAACTCTACCAATCGGTCCTCGAGTTCAGAACCGAAACCATCACAGAACTATTAAGGTTGTTTTTACTTGGACTGTAATTCGTTCCAGACCAGACCAAAACAGACCAGACCAGACCAAACCAGACCAAACCATATTTTATTATTATTAGTGTTGGTGTTGGTGTTGTTGTTATTGTTTTTATTGTTGTTGTTGTTGTTATTAGGGGGTGTTTGGATTTGATTCTTAAAATTGCTTTTGCTCCTTCAAGGAGCGGAAGCAGAAGTTGGAGTGTTTGGGTAAAAGTGCAGAAGTGATTCTGGTGCTCTAATTTACTTCTAGAATCAGTTGTTTTAGAAGCTGGGGGTGACCAGCTTCTGAAAACTGATTCTGATTTTGCTTCTGCTTTTAAAAAGAAGCAGAATCAGAATCAGTTCCAAACACCCCCTTAGTACTATTACTACTATTACTATTATTACTATTATTATTATTATTATTATTATTATTATTATTATTATTATTATTACTACTACTACTACTACTATTATTAGTAGTAGCAGTAGTATTGTTATTGTTGTTATTATTAATACTTGTACTATTTTATTATTGTTATGTATTTGTATGATCTGCTTCGGTCTGGGATTGAAATCAATCCAATTAAAACGATAACAATTTTCGATAATTTGGAAGGAATATTATTATTTTTAATTATAAATGAATAAAATATAATTATTTATGGATTATAATATATATAAAAAATAAAATCTTTATGCAAAAATATAAAAAATAAAATTTCAGACCAGACCAGACCAGGCCAAAATAGACCAGACCAGACCAGACTAAAACAGACCAGACCACGAAATTACAGTCCAAATAAAAACATCCTAACAAATACCACGCATGTTAATAGACCACGCAAGCAAGCAAGTGAGAGAAGTTGGGGATTCCAACTAATCCAACAATCACACAAAGAAGTTGTTATTTTCTTCTTATTCTTATTACTTATTGCTTATTTTTATTTTATTCAGATCAGATCAGATCAGAAAAATTCAGATCAGATCAGATCAGAAGCATTCAGATCAGATCAGATCAGAAACATTCATTGCAAACTGGAAACATTATATTATTATCGATTATTACTATTATTACTATTATTACTATTATTATTATATTATTATTATAATTATTATTGATATTATTATTATTAGAGATAATTCCCTAATTAGGACTAAAACAACTTTAAAATGCAAAATTAGGATCACTCCGTAATACTCCCTCCGTCCCATAAAATAAATCCCATTTTCCATTTTGGGCCGTCCCAAAAAAATGTTCTCATTTCCTTTTTTGAAAAGTTTTGTGTGGTTGACATTCATTTACCTTTTTCTTACTCAACCACAACCATACATTTCCACTTTATTCCAACTTTCTTAAACTCCGATCCAAGTCAAAGTGGGACTAATTTTCTGGGACGGAGGGAGTATCTAATACTCCATCTTTATTACTCCGTATCCGGATCAATTGTTAAGCAAAATGAGTAATAAAACAAATTTCAGCAGCAGCTGAATCTACGGTGCAACAGTAACGACCAGGCAGACCAAAGCAATTTCGGCGCCACCGACCCACCACCGCCTAACCTGCTACCGTCGACCCCTCATCTGCCTGCGCCGACCGCCTCATCTGCCTGCGCCGACCGCCTCATCTGCCTGCGCCGACCGCCTCATCTGCCGCTGCTGCCGACCTCCGGTAAGTACTCAACCGGTGCCACTTCGTCTTCCACAACACTCAATTGTGGCCATAATCGTCTACAAGAGGCCACAACAAAGATACTTCGTATTTTGCATCATGGTGAGGCTAGCTTGTACAGAGTGTATAGTTCAAATGTCGCCGGTGCCGGCATCTCCCTTGCTCATACCTGCTTGTACATGACTTGTGCTCTGGCTTGTGTATGAAGATCGAAGATTCCTTTCAAATTGAAGCTGTGATGTTCAATTCTTTGGAAATGGGTCTTTCAAATACATACAAGTACTGGAAGTCTGGAAGGAGACACAATTATACACTTAGAATATGTTTCATGTAAAATTGCCATAAACTTTTATTAGTCCTAAGTGTTGACTATTGATGTAGTACTGCCATGTTAAGAACCAGTGATAATGCTAGTGATAATGCCATTTTTAAGAAGACCAATATTGCCATCGTTAGGAGTAATATTGCCGTTTGAATGAACTTAGTTCCATAAAAATGGCATTATTTGTAAAAAAACTCTCAAGAAAATGACACTAAAGTGCAATATTACCTTCTTGATAAAAATGGCATTACTTATAAATCAAGGTTGAAACTATGTTTTTTGCTGGGAAATTAAGGGTACTGAATTTATTTTTTACTAAATTAAGGACTTATCAATTAATGACATATTATCCTTCATGTCATGGCACAAATTGTCAAAAACATGATATTATAACTTTGTGATGGCATTAATTACCAAAAACATGTTATTTTATTGCCATCTTAAAATGGCATTATAAGGGGGAAAAAAATCTATTTTTACAAAAATAGCAAAATTGAAATAATTTTTAAAATAGATCCAACATCTTGATGTAAGTAATTTTTGGAGTCTCACAATTTTCAAACCAAAGGTTACTTATCCAAAATAGCATAACTTTGTAAACATTTGAAACAATAGAAAATAGCATAAATTCAGTAAAGTATGGAGGATAATATGAAATTATATCTAACCAAAGGTTGAAATGAGTGCTATTTTCAGGGAAAATAAATTCAGCACCAATACATCTCCCAGATTTAAAATCAATGCAAAATAGGCATAGTTCAAAATCAAGGCGATAAAGAATAATATAAGAACAAAATCAAAATTAATTTTAAAATTAAGAAGAAATCAATAAAAAATTCAAATCTGTCGCAAAAGCAATCTGGAGTTACAATTACAATTGGAAAAAAAAATTAATCTGCAACCCTTATAAAATTGATGGAAATCAATAAGAAAATAAATTTAAAATCAAAATGAACGAAGAATAAACAAATTCATCAACAACTTGAATAAGAATCAAGGAAAATGGAGGAGGAGAGCAGAAGGGCGGAGAAGAAGAAGATTGAAGTTTACCTGCAACAACCCCGCCGTTCTCCGCCCCCCAATCGTCGCCCGCTTGTCGACGGCCGGAGATGACAGAGAAAATTCACCATCTATAGTTCTGCAGTCCGTTGGAGATAGGAGTGCTTAAGATTGGCATAAAAATCAAAATAAGATGAGAATGGATGAGTAGAAGATTGGAGGAAGTGGCGGAAAGAAGAAAATTGAAGGAGAAGTGAAGAAAGGGGAGAGACGTGAGAAACGAAGTGGCGGAAGAGTGCTGGTGCGGAGAAAAAATAATAGAAGGGTAGAATTGGAACAAGTAGTCTTATTTTGGAAATAAAAAACATAGGATCATGGAATTTTTTTATTGTTTTTATCCAATTCAAGACAATTACTTTTATTATTATATACCGTTTTAGAAAATTAAGATCAGGTCAGAAAGATTCAGATCAGATCAGAAACATTCAGATCAGATCAGACAGATTCAGATCAAATCAGATCATAAAGATTCTGATTAGATCAGAAAGATTCAGATCAGATCAGATCAGAAAAATTCAGATCAGATCAGATCTTAAAAAATTCAGATCAGAAACATTCAGATCAGACGAAGAGAACAGTTTCAAAGCAAGTACACAGAAATTAAAAGAAACATTATTATTTCTATAACTAGCACAGGAAGAGCTCACATAATCACTTGGTATTACATTTTCAAAACACAAAGAAAATATCATACCAAATATCACAAAGATTTTAATTAAAAAAGAATTAAGCACATTTAAAGCAAACTCACTTTGCACTTAATATTTCTCTCATGCTCCCCTAATGTATTTATCTCTAATAACATGGCAATCACGCAACTCAAGTATATTGCACATAACATTCATATCATGCTCCACCTTAATAGAAATATCATTTTCTTTATTTTCAAAATGAAAAACATTTTGATTCACAAATTTGAGTTCGGTTTCAACAAGTAAATCAGAATGAACTTCAACAGGCGAATGCTCCACCTCATTTGGAGCAACATCAGGAGAAATGAGCAAGCAAGGAAATTCATTTTCAACAAAAATGACATTTGTACTTATCAACACATTGAAGCCAGTTTCCCTTCTACACCAAAGCCTATAACCTTTCATGCATTCATTATATCCTATGAAAACAAATTTCTTAGTCCTAGGTTCAGATTCATCATTCTCATGATTCACATAAGCAGCACAACCAAAAACTCTCAAATTTGGCAAGTCAAGCGATTTGCCCGTGAACACAGATTCAGGACATTTCCCTTCTAAAGAAACAGACGAGAACATATTAGTCAAATAAGCAACATAACAAATAGCTTTCCCCCATAACTTTTTAGATAGCCTAGATGAAGCTAACATAGCCCTCACCCTCTCTAAAAGAGTTCTAACCATCCTCTCAGCAACCCCTTCCGGTTGGGGTGTGAAGGAAACAGATTTATGCAAAGAAATACCCCAAGTATCACATAAATCACCAAGCTGATCATCAAAGAAATCAAAACTGAAATTGGTCCTTAAAAATTTTATTTTCTTACCGGTTAAATTTTCAACAAGGGTTTTCCAGTTTTTAAACTTATCAAAAACATCAGATTTATTCTAAATCAACAAAACCCACACTTTCTTTGAAAAATCATCAATCAACGTTAGAAAATAATTTTCCCACCATGAGTGGAAACACTATAAGGACCCCACAAATCAGCATGAATACAATCAAGCACATCAGTACACTTAGGTAGATCAGGAAAGCTAACTCTAGATTGTTTTCCTATCACACAAGGTTGCACACAATTCATAGAATCAAGAATAGGTTCAGCATGACAAACATACAAATTTTTTTTCATCTCAGCTTTGAAAACAACTAAACAACCCTTCACAACTTTCATGATTCCCTTTCCCCATTTTCCTTTCAAACCATCATTGTCAAGAGAAGCACAAGATAGCAAATTACAGCACAACTCAGAAACATGCCTAACATTCTTCAAAGTAAGCACATAACCAGAAGAAAACCTAAGGCATATATCTCATATTCCTAGCACATTGCATTTCTTCTCATTTGTTAAGGACACAAAGTCATGCTAAATCTCTCTATAGTTTGAAAAAACATTTTTTAAAGGGGAGATATGAAAAGTACAACTAGAATCTACCACCCAATCTGATTTACACAAGGAATTAGATATCACAAAACTCAAGTAGTCATAATCACATAGATTCATCATAAAAACATCACTTAAATCATCTTCACAAGTAGTCAAATTAGCATGCTCACTGTGCTTATTTTCCCTAGACTTAGGACAGTCTTTTATGAAATGACCAGGTTCATGACAATAATAGCAACGCCTCGAATTAGACCTAAATTTAAAAAAATTAAGTTTAGGTCTAATTATCTTAAAAAATTAGCCATTTTTAAAATTTGGGGTGGCCCATGGCCTAGGTTGGCCCACCCCTAGCTCCGCCCATGTCTATACCCCTCACATGCATAACCTTCTCGGATTTTCTACCCTCACTCATCTGTTTTAAATCTAATTCCTTACTCATTAGACCATTAACCACAATGTCAAGAGTCACATTATCTCTACCATACTTAATAGAAGATTTCACATCACTAAAGGAATCAAGAATAGCATTTAAAAGAGCCATAGGGGAATAATCATCTATATACTTATCACCACACAACTTAATATCAGAAATAAGTTTGGTAAAAACATCTAGATTTTCCTCAATATCCTTAGACATATCCAGTCTAAATTTGAAGAACTTCTTAAGTAAAAACATCCGGCTAGGCAAAGAGGTTTCAGTATACATTTCATCTAATTTATTTCATAGAATTTTAGCACTCTCTAAAATTCCAACTTTTCTAATCACAGAATCAGATTAGTTCAAATAAATCACAGAACATACATTTTCACTCATTTCATATCTTTTATCATCTGTGTCAGAAATTAAGGGGGTGTTTGGAACCGATTCTGATTCTGCTTCTTTTTTAAAGAAAAAGCAGAATCAGAATCAGTTTTCAGAAGCTGGTCACCCCCAACTTCTAAAAAAACTGATTCTAGGAGTAAATTAGAGCACCAGAATCACTTTTGCACTTTTACCCAAACACTCCAACTCTGCTTCTGCTCCCTGAAGGAGCAGAAGCAGTTTTAAGAATCAAATCCAAACACCCCCTAAATGGGTTTCACCAACTGCTTTAAAACATTTTTGTTGGATTAAAATACATTTAATTTTTTTCTTCCATATGCTAAAATCAGATTTTCCGTTAAACGGAGCCATACCATACTAATTATAAGCAGAAATTTTCACAAAGAAAAACAAGCAACAAAAGAAAATGTAAATTTCGCTGAAAAACTAATTTAATAAAGGCACTTTAATAAAGTTGCTTTGCACAGGTCTGCTACTGCTTTATTAAAGTGAACAAGTGAACATTTTGGGTGCCAATTCAGAATCCCTGGCCACTTTAATAAAGCAGTAGCAGACCTATGCAAAGCAACTTTATTAAAGTGCCTTTAATTAAGTGAACAAGTGAACAGTTCGGGTGCCAATTCAGAGTCTCTGGCCACTTTAATAAAGCAGTAGCAGACCTGTGCAAAGCAACTTTATTAAAGTGCCTTTAGTTAAGTGACCTACTTGTCCGCTTGTGCACAATCTTCCTTTTTCCTAACAATCCCCTTCACCATACCCACTCTTATGTCCTCGTACATGGGAATGGGAGGTTTAGATCTACATTTGACAAGGGTACCATTGAATGCCTCGCTTAAATTGTTATTTGGACTATCACACTTCACTTGTACCATAACTTCATTTCTTACGTGTGCAGGTCTCTTCCAGCTTCTGCATCAGCTTTATCCAACTCAGTCAGTGAAGCCTCCAATTGAGAGGTTGATTTGGCACACTTCCAGAATAAATTCTTCATTAGCAACCCGCGATGAGTTTTCCTCCAGTTGGCATGAATGTGCCTGGCACAATTTCTGTGCTCAAGCTCATATAAGACAGTAGCAATGACATTTGCAAGACCCTGTACTCAGAAAATTCATTGAAATTAGAACTGGAAAATATGATATATTATAGCATCCAACGAAAGGATTAGATAGCTAAAGAGGTAATTTAACAAGTTTGGGGGACTGGTGGAGTATAATGACGATTGGGAGGAGCTGGTGCAGGCTATTATGTGTTTCGTAGTCGGTGATGCTTTTCTAGGTCTGCTTCTGGTTTTTTGTTATTAGTCTCTTCAATGGTTTTGTGTACCGGCTTCTTTGGCGCTTTGAGCGGAGCAACACTATCATTTGGGTCCTCCGCACTCTTTATGTTGTTTGTGAATTATTAATCTTTGTACTTTGCGTATGAAAAATTTAAAGTGGGGTTGTTTTTAGTAAAAATTGGGCTGCAATTAGAACCAACTCCCCCATCACCCTAACATAGTATTCTGTATGTTTCTTAGAAAAAGCTCATATTCTGAGCAGTATACATTTGAGCAAGCGATAAATACAAAACCTAATTGTATTTTGTAAAATTTAACAGGGTGTGGACCACAAATTGAGGAGGACGAGGAGGAGACTAGTGTGTGTCACTAGGGTAGCGTCAACGTGTAGGCTAATAAGAGTGGCAGCAATTTTTGGTGGTGATCTTGATGAGTGGCAAAGGCAGCTGGCGAAGGCGATGAGAAAAGGAGGCATCAGCTAGCGGAGACGATCGGCGGACATGAGTAGTGATGAGTTATGATGAGCAGCAACAACGAGTCTTTGGAGTGGTAGCGGCGGTGCGACATATCTGTGGAACTTCTATTGTGCATGCACATTTGAAGAAGAAAGAATAGGGAAGTGTGGATTGGGGACGTTTAGATGAGGGGTGTTTTTGTCCACTCATATTATCATATATAATTAGTCATTTTTTTGTCTACATAAAAAGTTAGTACTTCCTATTATTTTTTTCCATTCAAAAATTGGTACTATTATTTTTGTCATTATTTCAAATAAAAACTAGAGATGAAAATTAAATGAGAAAATAATTCAAATTCAGTAGATGATAAGGGGAGAATAAGAATATCGTCTGATTCCTATTCAGGTATCATGTTGTTATTGATTCCGCGTATAATCTTTTTCTTATGTTACTTAAGAGGTAAAAGGTGAATGAACTTGATTACGCATAATGAACATGTATCATGTATGTATGTAATATGGTTTTATGAATATCATTATACTTTCTATGCTTTATATATATATATATATATATATATATATATATATATAGAGAGAGAGAGAGAGAGAGAGAGAGAGTAATATTTATTTATACGAGAAACATAATTATTGTTTCCTATATTCGTCTTCTTTTAATTCCTTGGAGGATTTCAATGAGTGGTTCATCTTGGATTCTTGGTATTCAAACATGTTCAATTTTCTTCCAAAACCTCTATTTTGGAAGTGTGTGAAAGCTTAAGAGGCAAGACAACTTTAAAGCACATTTCCTCCATTTTTTCCTGCTCAAGGGGGAATGGAACAAATCCCTTCCCTCCACACATTCATCGAGAGCTAAAAACATTTAAAAGTAGCCTTCCTAGGCTTGGACTCGGGTCGGGCCACCCGGCCCGTGGACCGGCCCGGCCCGCTACTGTGCGGGACCGAGACCGGCCCGGTTCTCGGGTCCGGGTCCGGTTCGGGCCTAGGCCCGGGGGGTAGGGCAGGTCCGGGCTCGGGTCTCAATTTTGGTGAACCGGCCCGGCCGGGTCGGGCCTGGGCCAAATTGATTTTTTTTTTATTTTTATTTTCATTTTTGGGGTTCCACTCGGGTTGGGCTTGATGGTAGGATGGGTTTGGGGGGGTTTGGGAGGGTGGGGGTGAGGGGGGGGGGGGGGTTAGGAAAGCAAAAAAAAAAAATCCAAACCGGAGGCCCGGCCCGGACCGGACCCGGTGGCTACCCGGGCCGGTCCCGGGTCCACCATTCTTGAACCGCCGGCCCGCCCGGGCCTAGGCCCGACCCGGACCCGGCCCGGACCCAAGTCCACCCCTGAGCCTTCCTAGTGAAGATAAAGGAGGGGGTAAACAATCTTAACACTTTTTAAAAAAGAAGTATTTTTGGAATATCACATTATCACCCTGCGTTTTTCAACGATCCATTTTCCATTTTCCATTTTCAAAAATACTATAAAAAAGAAGTATTTTTGGAGAGCAAATTACATTTCATGTATAGTAATAATCTTAGCAAGCGGGGGCGTCGCTCACCTGGTAGAAAGGGGAACCACAAGGAAGAGGTCTCGGGTTCAACTTCAAACAATAACTTGGAATAGAAACTCACTCTCTTTTCATCAGAATGATATCAAAGCTCAATTTACATCTCCCGGATAAGTAGTAAGGGGTGGACCGGTTCCGGTTCGGGCCCGGCCTCAGTTCATGAAAGGGGAGGCCCGGAACCGGCCCGGGTAACCCCGGGTCCGGTCCGAGCCTCAGTTCTTGTATTTTTTTTTTTGACTTTTCCTAATTAACCTCCAACCCTCCCCCCTCACCCCCAAACCACCTCAAATGGCCCATCATACCCAGCCCAACCCAAAAACTTAAAAAAAAAATCAAAAAAAAAATCAAAAAAATAAATTGGCCCGGACCGGGCCCGAACCGGCCAGACCTGTTCACAATTTAGGAGGCTCGGGCCCGGCCCACCTACCTCACCGGGCCGGGTGGCCCGAACCGGGCACCAACCGGTTCACCGGTCCGGTTTCGGCTGGTTGGCCCAGCCCGAGTCCACTCCTACGGATAAGTGGATAACTGTCTAGTCAGTCCTATGGGCCATCAGGGATGGTGTATCATCCTTTTTTTAGTAATTCTCTTAGCATCATATAGCATGATACAACCCTTATAGATGAGAAATGGAGATGAGAGAACGGATAAAGAGGCAAATTAAACTAATCAGCCGCATGTCAATATGTCATTCACAACATTTCATAGTGCAGAGACTTCGCTACTGCATATGAAAAGTTAATAAATATGATGCGGTTTATGCCCACATCTAAAATAAAATAAAAAACTAATTATCACCCAACAGTTGTTGGATAATTATCTTTGAGAGAAAATATTTCATGTCTGAATAAATCCTATGATCTGAAAATACTACAAATGTCTAGTGAATGTGAATCCAAACTGTGTGGCAACTTCAAGCTGCTATCATCAACACCATCAGATGGGGGAAAGTGAGTTCAGTTAAGCCAACCTTTTACTATTCTGCCTTGTGCTTCTCGGTTTTCCTTTTCCTTGTCCGAGCACTCATACGCCTACCCACAAACTTGAGAACCTCATCTATCAATATGACAGGCAATGCAACCGCTAACACAAGCAGCCACTCATTCAGGCTAAGTGGGACGATCCCAAACACTTGAGCCAGAAAAGGCACGTAAAGAATCAAGAAATGCAAGGCAAAGGAGACTGACATGGCCACTAGAAGCCAAGGATTGACCCAAGGTGGCATTGTCAAGAGGCTTCCATCCTCCGAAAGGGCATTCAGGGAATTAAACATTTCAATGGCAACTAATACGGAGAGGGAAAGTGTCATGGCCTTGATTTTACCCGTCTGGAAGAAATCACATGGGTTGTCGTCAAAACTGTACACCTGAGACCCTGCCGTGAACGGGGAGGCAGTGAAATTCTTCCAAGAACTGCACTGCCCCCAGTTTGAGAGTTGGGAGTAGGTCACCAGGCTGTGCCCATCCCCACTTAGGTCAATTCCGAGGAAGGAATGATGGGTGAACCATATGATGAATACTCCAACTGTTGCAAGACCAACATAAGATCCAATCACCTGCATTCAGCAAAATTAAATGGTAATAAGAACACAGCCCCACAAAACTAAAGATGGACACACTCCAGGGGGGCAGCCAGAAGTTTTATAGTTCAGGACAACTTAAGTGAAATTGCAACAAACCTGGTCCAATATTTTTAAAATATAAATATATGGTTAGGATCTAGGGTTTACGAATTCTATGTTAAGTTCAACCAGAAATCCGAAAGTTGGTCTGAAACTTTTTTGGGACAGTTTTTGGGCTGTGAAGATTTGTACCAAACTGTTTTGGGTTCCTCTTTGAGGATTGGGTCAAACCTGAACCCTACATGTAGAATAAAAGCATGGTTTAAGAAGGCGTCTAAGAGCTATGTTTTGAGATGCCTGAGGCGCTCCAGAACTGAGGCTCACGACCCTATTGACAACTTTCCTTCATAGAGTGAATCTGAAGATCGTTGTCTGGTCTGTACACCTAGCCTCAAAAATGCAAAAGCATCAAGGCTTAAAAGCGCCTTCTTAAACATTAAATAAGAGACCATAAAAATGCACGGACAAATAGTAAACAATGCATACTAGGTAGCGGAACAATATCCATGGACTGATTAGTGAATCTTCACTTTTCCTGGGTGATTTCTTCATAATATCTTTGTCTGGGGGATTGAATCCTAGTGCCGTTGCTGGGGGACCATCTGTGACCAGGTTGACCCATAGAAGCTGAACTGGGATTAAGCCTTCTGGAATACCTAATGCAGCTGTTAGAAAAATACAAGCAACCTCTCCCATGTTTGAAGATATCATATACCTGCAAGTACGCAAGCAATGTTGTATTATTGCTTCAGAGCACCAGATGTAAGCAAAGAGGTTATTGAAGAAACAATTACGGATTATTCCCCGCATCACCAAAAAAGAACAATTGAAAACTTATTTGTGTACCGACGAGTAACTTTTTTATTTGATGTAATTTTTACATAAGTATCACAGATAAGTTAAATATGTTACATCTAAATAAACCAGTAAATAATTTTAAAAGTAGAACTATAATTGAAATTTTTTATTAGATGTACCTTACACTAAATTTTAAATGTATTACCTTAGTAAATGACCCTTTTAGAGGGAGCTAGTATGTTTTGATTACAGGTCAAACCAATAATCAACAAATATTCAAATAAAACTGTGAAAGCAATGATAAAACGAAGTTACAAACAGTACAAAAAATAGCAATTAACAGACCTGATGAAGGCTTTCATGTTGTTGTAAATGGACCTGCCTTCACCAACAGCTGCAACAATGGTGCTAAAATTATCATCAGCCAAAACCATGTCAGATGCTTCCTTTGCTACCTGGTCAAAGACAACAGTGGATTTAGCTGTAAGACCAAGTTCAGATAATAGAAGTCATTTTTATGTCTTTAAAAATGTAATTGATGCAAATTTAGATCCATCACAAATTCACAACTACAGACTCGCAGTTAAAATATTTAGAGTTTAAGTGTTTGAATTGCTTTTGCTATGTAAATTAATATTTAAATAAATTAATAAATACTGATGCCCCAGAAAAGAAGCTTATTACGTTGAAAAGCTATTCTATCATAGTTTTGCTTGAATAAAAGTTTAGCATTTACAGAAATAAATAGCTAAGGGTGTTGGAATCAAGCTAGGTGTTCCAGTAATGTATCAGTTACATTAGTACCTCAGTTCCAGCAATGCCCATAGCAATCCCAATGTCAGCCAACTTTAATGCAGGTGCATCATTAACACCATCTCCAGTCATTGCAACCACCTCGCCGTCTTCTTTGAGCAATCTCACTATCTCTTGTTTATGTCTTGGCTCTGCCCTAGAAAACAAAAGCCCTCCATTCTGCCTTAAATGTGATTTTGGGTCACGAAGCTCCATGAATTCTTTTCCAGTTAAGCTCCTAGAAGTGAAATCCTCATTGTACCCGAAAACTCCAATCTCACGGCAAATAGCTTCAGCTGTATTCTTGTTGTCTCCTGTAATTACCATCACTCGAATCCCAGCATCTCGGCAATCCTCAATAGCTTGGGGTACCTCTGGCCTCGGAGGATCCTGTCACAACAAGTCAACAACAACAACAAAATGTTGTATCATAGCTTCAGAGCCCTTGGATCTGTTCAGATCCTAGTAATACTAGAGAAAGAAAATGAAGGAAAGCAAGTA